TCTATGGAATACTATTCAGCCATTAAGAACAACAAAACCCTGACTTTTGACAGAAAGTGGAAGAATATGGAAGATTTACTGCTGAGTGAAGCAAGCCAGGCTATGAAGGAGAGACACTGTATGTCCCCACTTAATAGACATCGAATGTCCGCACTCTATAACTGAAACTGATGGGCTAAAGGATGTACAAACAGAAGAGGTGGATGTGAATGCCAGATGTGGGGTGTGTGGAGGAGTGGGGCCTGGGGAAGAACATTTGGAGGAGGGATACGAAGACAGCATTGTTGAAACAGGGAGGTAGTGTTGCTATATTTTGATCAACTAGACTGGGGAGAAATGTTCATATATTGAAATGATCACCTTGTAAGCTAAATAATGTAATTGAATGTATTTTAAAAATGTAAATAAAAATTTTAAAAATAAAAAAATAAACAAATAAAATTTTAAAAATATGTTTACATTGCACACAAAGCTGTATTATGTTATTTTTAATATGCTGTCATTATTTGTTCCTTGTTCTTACTCTGCTTTGTGATTTATATTAGCAAATATGTTTTTGTCACTATTGCTTATAGTAGGGAATTAGAATATTTTCTTTATAACCTGAATATTTAACTTTCCTTAATTTTCTCTTTAAGATTAAAAGAAAACAGCACCATGGCACAATAATCAAGAGGTACTGCATGCTTTTCTAAATAATTTCATATATTTAGTTTTGATGAATGAACCATAGATATTATTGCTACATAGTTCTAAGAAATCTTGAACTTCAGAATTAGAAGAGGATCCCAGCCTATAAAATCAAGTGTGGTTTATTTTAAAGAAGTTAAGGATCAGATCAGTTTTTTAACAGGTTCAACCTCCCATTTCATTTTCATTTTGTTTCCAAATGCAACTTAATTTACTTAATAAGAGCAAGCTAAGTGTCTACCTGAAACAGTGAGGCCTCATCCTCACCCTTTTTTATTTCTATAAGTATGAGGGCCTATGACTTGAGAAATGACAGACAGAAAGGCTAAGACTGGGAATTAGATTAGGATCAATATTAAGTGTTTGGCAATAGTGAGGGGTTATTTAGTATACAGAGAGGAGATGTATCAATTTCAAAACCCCCGTCAAGATGGGCAGTCATCTCTGTACAGATGCAGTTACACAGGAAGGGATGGTCAGAACTGTAGGCCAAGTTTTCAGTTTCCCACAGCATAATGGGGGTTTATTTTTTATTCTCCATGATTAGAGGGTGTCGGATATAAGGTGGGTTTGGTAAAACATGTTCAATTTGGTTAGAAGAAACCATCTAAAAGATGAAACACTGTGGATTTGGTGTTCTGGTGAGCTTGGAGTTAGAATGATAAGACAAGAACAAGGACAAAAGAAAAAGAGCTCTTTTTTATTAACTGCCTTCTGTATACCCATCTCTAGAAGACACCAAACAGCCTTTCCAGAGAGGCAGAGCCTAGTTCACCTGGTCTAGCAGTGCATTCACTGTTGGGATACCCCCACCCCTGCCCCCATATTTCAGTCCTGCAAATGACACCCAGTCTATTTGAGACCTCCAATGATCAGGAATATTTTGAGTGTCCATTCTCTTTTGGAAGTTAGACAGCTCTGGGTTTGAATTCAGGCTCTTTGATTTATTAGCTGAACAAGTTACTTCCCTTTTGTTTTTTCAGTTTCTTTTTTTAAATCTGTAAAAACGAGCTAATGTTTAGATTGAAGGGTTTTTGTCGGGATTAAATATGAAATAAATGTAAGCTTTTGCTCTCATTGTCACTGTTGTCTTTATCATCATGACCGTCATCATCATTGTCATAATTAACTGTTCTTTTCTATAACCAGCACCCAGTCATTGATAGACCAGAAGCAAGGTTGACTTGATATTGAACCAATTTCTTATCTAGGGACCGTTTTGGGGTTGGTGATTGGGATGGGGTGGAGTTGCAGAATAAGTTCATGGATAGAACTAAATAGTTTCCTGTTGGGGGAAGGACACATTGAAGCTATAACCAGTTCCTTCCTGACAGGAACCATACCAATCTTTGGGTAGCAACTTTTTGAAAGGCTTTTTCATCAAAGAAATGGCATTATGGAGGTCTGTTCCCTATTCTGTATAACCTACAGGGTGGTGTTGCTAGATTTCTCTTTGGGAGTTCACTGAAGGTTTACTAGTTCTAGTATTTTGATGGAATTGCAAAGTCTCCATGTCGATTGAGTTCTCTGATAGTTTTCTCCTCTGCCAAGTACATTTATTATTTGTGTTAATTAGAAAAGATAAATCTACTTGAAATCAAGCATACCTTCCTGGAAATAGGATATGTTTTAAAAAGCATAGGAATAAAGTAGAAAGAGCTGTAGAGAGAGGTCAGGAGAGAGGTCAAGAGATTGGCCAGAATTTAGACCAGTCTCTGCCTATCTCATAGCCTCTCTCAATCTCAGTTTCTCATGAGAGAGTTAGACAAGATGATCACTCACCCTTGAGTGTGGATCTAAAATCCTTTGGTAACAGTTTAGGGATATTGCTAGCCCATTTAATTTGTCCACTTTCTTAAGGCAGCTAGCTACTGGGTCATCAGGAAAGTCATGAGGCATTTTTGCATAGAAAAACATAGAAAAATATATCATGACTTTCTCAACAACCTAATAAAATATTTCCTTTCTGTTCCAGTCTATTTTATTATTTTTATTATTTTATTGCTTTCCCTTTCTCTTCTCAGTTGTTAGCAATCAATTTGGTCTTGTTCTTTCTTTTGCCTCCCTTAGTACCAAAGTTTTCTAAGTTGAAAAGCTGTCCATTGGGTGCCAGCAGATGGCATAGTGGTTATGTCACTGGACTCCCGCAGGACCGATGGTGGTTTGAGTCCCAGACCTGGCAGCTTGAAACTCATGCTGGGCATGTGTGCCCAACATCCCAAGACGAGAAGAGAGGAGAAGGGATTGTGGCATGGTCATGTCCCCTGGGGGATGATTTCTCACTTCTGTCTCTCTTGCAAGTGCATGCAACCTATAGTAAAAATCTCTCTCTAAAAAAAAAGAAAGGAAGGAAGGAAGAGAGGCTGTCCATCTTCCTTAGCTGCTGAGCATCTGTGGTGATACATCTCTGGGACACATCTGAATTCATGATTTTCTGGGCCCAAGTCACTGAGCAGAACCCTGAGTAGGAAAGTATCTTTTGGGAGGAGGATTTTATAAAAGGAAAGGGGACACATTTTTTTGCCTTCCATGTAAAATCTTTTTGAACTGAATTCACTGACCAGGATTCAAAGTTGATTTGGTTCCTTTTTGGGACAAATCAAAGCAGTGATTTCAGAATCTCTTAAAATTATATTTGCCATGATGTCCATGATGATTCCAGAGTGAAAGATGAGGCCATTTGTATGTGCAGGGAACCTCCAGCACAGAGGAGCTTAAGCGATGGTTCTCAGATGCTGGTGGATGGGCCCACTGCATCAGAATTCTCTGGGGAGCTCATGTAATGCGCATGGCTAGATGCCTCAGGAGATTTGGACCAAGTGAGAAAGAGATGATGTAGCTGAACAATTTTTTTTTTTTGGTTGTAAAATAATTTACTAAAGGCACTATTGTTAAACATCAAACTAATAATGATTCATTACCAATAAGGTACATCATTGTAAACATAACATAGTGACTTCGAAACACATGACTAATAGGCAGACAGTACAACTGTAAGAGACTGCTTCCCTCTTCACATGATCTTACCCCCTCTAGCCCTTCCAGGGGCGTACGTGATGCCACTGTACTCAACAGTTACCTAGAAGGGAGCCTGGAGCTCAGAAAGTGTTTGAGATCACTGCTGTGGAAGAGGTCTCACAAAGCTCCAAAATTCTTCACTCCATCGGGGGTCGATGCTCAAATTCCTGGGTTCAGATACCAAGATGTTTCATACTTCCCACCAAAGCACATACAGAAGTAAAGACTTAAAACCCTGAAGGAGCCATCTGGAAGACCCAACTCCTCTCTGGGTCATCAGGAAAGTCATGAGGCATTTTTGCATAGAAAAACATAGAAAAATATATCATGACTTTCTCAACAACCTAATAAAATATTTCCTTTCTGTTCCAGTCTATTTTATTATTTTTATTATTTTATTGCTTTCCCTTTCTCTTCTCAGTTGTTAGCAATCAATTTGGTCTTGTTCTTTCTTTTGCCTCCCTTAGTACCAAAGTTTTCTAAGTTGAAAAGCTGTCCATTGGGTGCCAGCAGATGGCATAGTGGTTATGTCACTGGACTCCCGCAGGACCGATGGTGGTTTGAGTCCCAGACCTGGCAGCTTGAAACTCATGCTGGGCATGTGTGCCCAACATCCCAAGACGAGAAGAGAGGAGAAGGGATTGTGGCATGGTCATGTCCCCTGGGGGATGATTTCTCACTTCTGTCTCTCTTGCAAGTGCATGCAACCTATAGTAAAAATCTCTCTCTAAAAAAAAAGAAAGGAAGGAAGGAAGAGAGGCTGTCCATCTTCCTTAGCTGCTGAGCATCTGTGGTGATACATCTCTGGGACACATCTGAATTCATGATTTTCTGGGCCCAAGTCACTGAGCAGAACCCTGAGTAGGAAAGTATCTTTTGGGAGGAGGATTTTATAAAAGGAAAGGGGACACATTTTTTTGCCTTCCATGTAAAATCTTTTTGAACTGAATTCACTGACCAGGATTCAAAGTTGATTTGGTTCCTTTTTGGGACAAATCAAAGCAGTGATTTCAGAATCTCTTAAAATTATATTTGCCATGATGTCCATGATGATTCCAGAGTGAAAGATGAGGCCATTTGTATGTGCAGGGAACCTCCAGCACAGAGGAGCTTAAGCGATGGTTCTCAGATGCTGGTGGATGGGCCCACTGCATCAGAATTCTCTGGGGAGCTCATGTAATGCGCATGGCTAGATGCCTCAGGAGATTTGGACCAAGTGAGAAAGAGATGATGTAGCTGAACAATTTTTTTTTTTTGGTTGTAAAATAATTTACTAAAGGCACTATTGTTAAACATCAAACTAATAATGATTCATTACCAATAAGGTACATCATTGTAAACATAACATAGTGACTTCGAAACACATGACTAATAGGCAGACAGTACAACTGTAAGAGACTGCTTCCCTCTTCACATGATCTTACCCCCTCTAGCCCTTCCAGGGGCGTACGTGATGCCACTGTACTCAACAGTTACCTAGAAGGGAGCCTGGAGCTCAGAAGGTGTTTGAGATCACTGCTGTGGAAGAGGTCTGAACAATGTATTTTTCATTTGGGTGATATTGGCATATATGCAGCTAGGTTTGGATATTGTTTATTGTGTATTTTTTTAAAGATTTATTTATTTATTTATCTACTTATTTGTTGAGATTTTCGGGCTGCTGGGTCCAGGACTCGAACTGTGGTCAGCTGTAGGAGTCCAGCACTTCAAGCACCCTACCACCTGTTGGCCCCTTTCATGTTGTATTTTAATGATATATTTCTCCACTTGACTTTATCTCTTTACATAAATTTTATCAATGCTTAGCGTTTCCCTGGTCACATAGTATGTGCTAAGTAAATATTGGGTAAGTGCTACATATGTGCTTTACTTGCAAGAAAATCACTGGATCCTAGCTTAAGGCTGATGTATTTTTATCTAAGTCGTACCTTTTCCACTTGCTAACTGTTTTTTCTATTCCTGTTAGTTGTCTTCATAGCTTGTTCATCAGTCTGGAAAGAAGTGGGCTCCGTGGGACATTGTAATGTGCACAGACATTTCCAAGGAAATACTAAACAGTCACCCCCCCCTCCCTCTTACTCCCCCAAATCTTAAAGGTGTAGTTAAAACCAAGGGTACATGTTGAATGGAAAGAAATTGACTAGACAGTACATTTGGGTGTGGCACTTTCCATGGTCCACCTACGGAAGGCTTGGGAGCACACGGGCACTGCCCACACTGGGCTGCTGTGCTATGCAGCAGTTCTCACTCTGGCCAGGCAGCATGGTTCATGGAGGTCACGTCTGTTCACTGATACTTTTTTGATAGTTTTTATATACAAAATCCTTATTCTGTTTACAACTTTAATTAAGATAATAGGCACTAGAAACAAATTACCTGAAGTAATATATTTGTCTGTTATCTTTCACTATTTCTACTCCATATTAATTTTTAGCTGTAAAATTGGTAAAATTGATTCTTCAAAATTGGTAAATTGATTCTTACTACTGTCTCTTTCCCTTTTTTACTATTTGATTTTGAAATTTTATTTAATTGTTAGAGAATTTCCTTTACTAGGAACAGTGTATTTCATTGCCGTATTTGCAAATAAAGTACTTAAATTTTTGTGACATAGGCACGTTTTGATTAAATTCCTGTTTCCTTTAGTCCAAGGCTTGTGTCACTACAAATACTTCACGGACATTGGCCCTCCCATCTACCTTTGTGTAATCCTAGCATCTCATCATGTCAGTTCTGTACTGTTTTCAAGAACTTGTGTTTGATGGTTGGTGGGATATCTGGGAAGCTCTTATCTTGATAATGACATATATATCTATTTAGTACTGCAATGTAAATTACTCAAGTTTACCAATGTTTCAACAATTAAAACATTTTTATCCCTCTTTATCTGGATTTCTTATTTATCTTTCAGAAGAACACTTTCAAAGAAGTCACACATGGTATTATGACATATATGGATATACTATAATCAATATATAAAGGTAATCATGAATGAGCAGTGTACTGTGAAAACACAAACATTTTCACCAGGAGAAAAGGCATTATCTTAAATATTAGATCTGTATGGCAACTACAAGGATATCAAATCGATAAAAAACAAGTATCAAGGGTAGGAATTACTAGCAAATAACACATGTTCTCCTGCCCCATATCCAAAAGTCCACGATAGCATTTAGGTGTAGGTGGGGCATCGGCAATTTGTTCCATTAGAGATAACAGATAGATTGGCTTCTTTGAAAACTTCCAATCTTGAAATAATTTTCGGTATGTAGAAGAGTATAAAGAGTTCTCATATGCCTTTAAGCCAGCTTCTTCTGTTGTCAGTCTTACATAACCATTGTATTTTTGTCAAATATAAGAAATAAAACATGGGTGCAACACTATAAGCAACAGCCTTTAATTGGTCTCCATTCGTTTCTCCACTGCTGCCTGGTTTTGTTTTACAATCAGATCCAAGAACCCACTGCCTTCCGTTGCCTTCTGTTACATTCAGTCATCCCGTCCTCTTAGTCTCCCCTTCCTGGCATTTTCTCAGGCTTTCCTTGATTTTTATGACCTCGACACTTTTGGAACCTATCGCTCTGTACCTTATAGTATGTACTGCAATTTGAATTTGTGTGTTTTCTTATGATTGGACTGGGGTTATTGATTTTGGGGAAGAGGACAAAGAGGTCCACAGAGATGAAGCGTCCCTCTATTGCACTGTAATATCTCAGCATCTCAATATGGCCTGTTATTTGTGAGGTAGACCTTGATCACTGGGCTAGGTGATATCTGTCTGCTTTCTAATATGAAGTGTCTGGTTCTCCTTTTCTAGCCTCTCTTCCTTTTAAGTGAGTCACTAAATTTAGATCAGACTTAAGACCAGAGGAATTAGGCTTTACTTCCTGGAGGAAAGAGTATTGAGGAATTTTTGGACATTTGTTAAAAAAGCATGAAAGTAATTAATAAATATTTGGAAGCAAGACTGAGACTGCAAATATCCTGTTTCTCTTTAAAGTTTTGGCCACTGGTTGTAGCATTTACCCTTGATTCTGGCCTGCAGCATTTATTACTATGGTGTTCAGATGGTGATTTTCTTCTTTTTTAATGAATTATTTAACTTTATTTATTTACTTATTTATTTTAATTTGACCAGAGAGGGAGGGGAGAGAGCAAGAGAGAGCGAGAGAGCGAGAGAGAGTGCAAGCGAGTGAGCAGGGAGAGTGAGAAAGCAAGTCACCAGGTCTGGGACCTGAACCGTAGTCAGCCATGTGGGAGTCCAGCACCCTTAACCACCATGCCCAACCTGCCGACCCCCAGATGGTGATTTTTCTATCTCCCTTGTTCTTTCTACAGATATTATTTTGATTCTTCTCTTAGGGTTATTTGTTTCTTCTCCCCCACTTATGTATTTATTCAGTTATTTATATTGATATGGACTTAAAGATATTATTTGGTTCTTCAGGTTATCATCCAACACTGTCATTGCTTTGTTGATCTAATTGTTCTGACTTTGGCCATTGGGAGTTCTTTCAGATTTAATCCCGACATACTCTGTTCTTTTTTGTCCTTTAGATTGATTTTTTTAAAATACATTTTTGCATATTAATAGGGCATCTTGCTGGAGACAGACAGTGAAAGAGAAGATGAGAAATCATCTCCCAAGGGGGATGCAATGCTACAGTCCCTTCTCTTCCATTCTCCTCTCAGGATTTTGGGAATGTGCACATGCACACATACCCAGCAGGATTTCAAGCTACCAGGTCCAGGACTTGAACCCCAGTCAGCCACTGTGCCACCTTCCCCGAGGTTGTTTTTAAATAGCAGTCTTATAAAATAAATATCCAATTCAAACATTACTTAAAACAAATTCCTAAAACTTTATAAAATTTCATTATAAATGAGTAGTGTTTTCCATATTATGACAAGTCTTAAAATTATTTTTCAACCTCACATTATTTAAATTTAGAACCTTGTGATTTTTATATTTAATAATGCTTGCAGCACCCAGTTATCTATAAGACTGATGATTATCTTTTTTAAGTGCTGCAAAAATCTTCAGCAAAAGGCTTAGAGTGTAACTATTAACTTGAAAATCTTTTCAAAGTAAAGAGAGAGATTGTTAAAGCTTTAAAAATGTATGCAATTTAAGAGTTAATATCTTTCCAAATGATGTAGCCCAATTCTTCCCCAGACTATTATTATTAAATACAGTGGAAAAACGAGTCCCATAGAATTTCTGATTGATTGATTAGAAAAGATTTTCTTAAGCCTTCTAAGCTAGGAGAAGCTTATTCATAGATTCAAAGAAGACTGCTACAATTTAGTTGTGTCAAAACTACTTGAAACTATGGAAAGTACAAAGCTGGTTTTGACAAGGACATTTAACTTCTGGGTGTAACTAAAGAACACTGACCAATGAACTGAGTTTTCAAAAGTCATCTGGATGAGGCTTTAGGGAGAGAGAAAAATGATAGATAATGCCACTCTAGCACAGTGGAGAAGTTGTCCCACTGGGTTTTTGAACTGGTAAGAGTTGAAGAGGAAGAGAAAGCAGGTTCAGTCTCGCAAGTGGGAGCGAGTTGTAGTTGTCTTGTATCCATGTCCAGTATTGGGAAGAATTTCAGGAGTGAAAAAGTTATGTAAGGGTTGCAGTTTTGGGAAGATAGTTTACATTGTTTTTAAACTTCATGTATGTGATAAATTCAAGCAGCATAAAATGTGTTTTATTTTTTCATAGAAGGTGTTCTAACAGCTCTGATTTTGGCTATTTGCCACCACAAGTCGAGTTCTTGCTGTGGTTCAGGTGGGCTTTTGCTGTTGGGGTTACAGCCAAAAGACTCAGTTCACACACTCAAGGCTCATTACAGCAGTGGTGGATACTCTGAGTGGCTTGTGGTGTACACATCGGGCAATGGTCAAGGTTGGCGTGGATTTTTTTTTTTTTTGAGAAGTTTCTGCTATAGGGTACGTGCACTCGCCAGAAAGACAGAAAGTGAGAAATCACCCTCCACCAGGGGAGATGGCCATACCACAAACCCTTCTCCTCCATTCTTCTCTTGGGATCTTGGGCACGCACGCACACGTGCCCGGCGTGAGTTTTAAGTCATCGGGTCTGGGACTCAAACTGCTGTTGACTACATTGGAGTCCAGCGACATAGACATTACGCTAACTACTGGTCCCAAGGTGTGGATTTCTTTGTGGGGCACACCTTGGGACCAGTCTGACCCTTAAGTCAGACTGGCAGGTAGCAAAAGACTTGTTTCAGAGAGTGGCCCCCTGTGCAGAGCATAAGAAGAGTATAAACTAGTGGACCATAGATGGGAGAAGAAAGAAGTGTCAGGAGCGAGCCACAGGTGCGAAGGCACAGGACCCTGAAAGTCCTTGGTGTAACCAGGGAAGGAGTTGAGCCTAGCTGAGTGGGAGGTGATGGTGATGGGAGAAGGGGTGGGTGAGGTGAGCTTCAAAGGTGCCTGTGGCTATGTTTGAACTTCCAAATTGTGGGAAGCCAGTGGGGAGTGAAGCTGCCATGGGGCTCAGGTGCTGGGTCTCTTTCTTGACTTGGTCCTTGAGGTTTGACTTTTCAGTGCCTGGTGTGTGGGCCTCTCTCTGGAGGAGGCAGTTCTGCTTTATGGAGGTGTGACTTCCCCATTTTTTCTATACTACAAAGGATTATGCATGGACCTCTAGGGCAACTGCGGTATCTTCTTTCTTTATAGTTTTAGCATCTTTAGGACAGTTTTTAGGGCCTTGGTAAGTTCTTTCACTTTCCTGTACCTTGGAAAGTTTTGATCAATGGAATAAAACTAGTTCTGATTAGTTCAAGATTGGAAGCAGAACTCATTTGTTCATTGGTTCGTCCATCCAGTAATTATTCCCTGAGTGTCTGCTCTGTGCCTAGCATCGCTGCAGACATTGGAGATGCGGCAGTGAACAAATCAGACAGAAGTCCTGACAACACAGAGCTACATTCTGCAGAGAGGAGACCTGCCAAATGAATGAATGGTGTGTGTGCTGTTGCCAGAGTCACACCAGAGAAGTTGGGACGGAGAGCCAGTGAGGAAGGTGGGCATTGCCATTGTCATCTTCCAATAGGATGATCAGGAGATGGCTATCAGAAGAGACAGCATTTGAAGGCAGAGACCTAAGGAGAAGAAGCCACCCATGTGGGTATCCAGTGGAAAAACGTTTTAAAGAGAAAGAGCAAGCTAAAATGCCCCATGGAGGAGTGTATCTGACATATCGAGGAAGAACAAAGAATTCAGTGTGACTGGAAAAGATTGCAGGGGAGAGGAGGAGGGTCACTGGGTACTGGGAAGGGGGGTGGGATTTTGGAGGAAGATTGGATCTGTTGTAGCTAACGGCCTTCACTGTGTGAAGTGGAGGGTCCTTGGATGGTTTGGAGGAGGATCGTGTGATTTAAGTTTACACCAGGTAACTGGCCGCTGTGGGGGGCGTGATGAGGATGGGA